GGGTAAATTAATCACGGAAATGTGGCTAGGAAGTGACTAGCACGTGGAGACATGGTAAACAGAACAGTTATGTTGCGTTTCAGTTTTAACCACCCTAGAATCAGCTGACAATGTCTGTAGAAATGTACTTCAATCAATCGATCTCTCTTACATTCATTCAAACTTAAATAAGTATTCTCTATAATACAATTTTCTGCAGTCATGAATTAAAATTTCTTTTTGGAAAAATATTTTTGCATGGGAACCGGGACTATATTTTTTTGGCGTCAGATGAGGCACCAGCATCATTTTAACTGACCAATCAGCTGAATGAGTATTGCATTATGCATGTTATGGGTTACTACGAATACTACAGGAATTTTACGCTTGAAAAAGGAAAATCTTTTGTAAATAAAAAAGCATTTTAAAAATGTTATGTTCATGCTCATAATGACAAACAATTCATTTGTTTAATAAACGGTGGAAGTCTAGGTCTCTGAAAGTCATACTGCAAAAGCGATTTGCGTGACGTCTGTATTAATTCCTTTGTTGTACTATCGGTGAATACAATGCCGGGTGGATTCCCTGGCCAAATACGCGATCACGAACGTAAACAAAGTTTTGTCCATTTAAACATATTAAATGCATAAGAGATGCTGCTCGTTTTCCTTACCCTTGAAGCGCTGGTGTTCTGAACTAGACACAAACTACATTTTATTAAACTGTTAAACATTTTTTCCAGTAAACAATAAATCAAAAACGCCCGTAACATCTTTAATAGTTTCTTATCTTTGTATTTTGTTCTTAAGAACATTTTTTTATTACTTTGTATTCCATTGACATGATCATAGATTGACCTGAACCACGTGTTCGAAGTAAAATGTAAACATGTATTTGGCGTAAACGTTGCTATTCATTCCAACGATTGGCCAGTTGCTCGTAGTAAGATCCTTTTTTTTTATAACAATATCATTTATAACAATATCCATATAATGCGAACAAAGGTTTATCAGTGTAGACGATAAAACACATTTTTACCAGCGAATCGGTCACTAGTGAGCTCTTATTTTCGCCGAAAAGTATAAGACATATTTTAACACCCCCTCCTTTAGTTACCCCCATTCTGTTGAAAATCATGAAAGTCTTTCAGAAAGGTCTGGAAAAATTTATTACAGGACATGTTTTCAAAAGAAACAGGCTATAGCAATATCCTGTTTACTGCCAATTTTATTTATAAAACCGGTTCTACCCTATAACCTTTGAATACTTAGATCTACCTAAACCACGTGTCTTGAATTTAAATCACAATAACATTAGTAGGGATGTGTGTATTACAACTCCACGAACGATAGCGTAAACATTCCGTCTCTATATAAAGAAATAGTAACAATGTAAAAAAAAAAAAAAACTACACATACTTAAAATGTTGTCATTTATCTTACTAACATCAACTTATTTTCATTCAAAATATTGTTGTATTTTCACTTTTAAAATGGCACTATTTTTAGATTGCGGAATGATTCTTTTTTTTACGCTCTCGGATAGATAATTTTTTTTATTCCCAGTTTTTTATCTATCTGATAAATATACACGGACTGAAATTAATTTTATTAGTTTACACTACGTATAAACCATTTTTAGGTACGCTTTCTCAGATGGTGTATTTAGATTTTTAATTAGATGGGAAATTAAAAAAAAAACGTTTAGCCCCATCATGGCGACGTTATTGACAGGCCGTTATTTTGGATAAAATAATGCGAGAAAAATAATTATTCATTACATACTCGTGTGGGAATAGTGAAATTCCACCTCAGGGTCAAGATTAACGGTCTAGGACTCGTCAAAGCCTCGTCTTAGACCGTGAATCTTGTCCCCTTGGTGGAATTTCACTATCCCACACTCGTAGTAATGAATGATTCTATTAGTATTTCATGATCATATGGAGACATAACATTGCCCCATCTTAAAAAAAGGCGAGTTCTAGAATACCCTGACAGAGCTTCTCATTTCAACAGCAGTATATACCTGGTATCATTCATTTAACTGGTTTCAGGCAATACTGTTGTAGAAAATTTAAATGTTTTACTAACGGTGTAAGAGTACTGTATACAGGGAAATTTTCGCTCCCGTTTTATTTTCGCCCCTTTCGTCCTCTTTATGATTGGGCGAATTTAAAACGGGGCGAATACGAATTAAACAGCATAATTTCTTAAAGAGAACTATGAATGGGCGAATTTAAAACGGGCTGAAATAATTGTTTGCAAGTGCAAAAGGGTGAAAATAATACGGGGCGAAAATAACTCTGTGTACAGTATCTTTGGAAATAAGTCATGTTCATTGTATTTTCGTAATATTTCAGCGTTTTAGAGAAATAAATCTGGCTTATAGTACTTACAATGTACCTGTGTATTTAGTGCTAACCTTTCTGTTAAACAATGGGTATATACATTGTCCGCATCCAGTGTTTTCTTCCTTACAATAACTAAAAAAAAAAGCTTTAATTTTCAATATTGTATTTATTTAATTTATTTATTAATTAATTTATTTATTATTATTATCTTTTTTTATGATATTGGCAAGAGAATAACTTTATCACTATTTTAATTCTATTTTATCCGCTCTTCACTCTATTTAAATTATTGCTTTTTCGACGAAACTAATCTTTATATAACTGAGGAGCCTACACAAATTAAATAAATTGGATTCTTGCAGCTACTAAAGTACATTTACCAGTTATTCTATTAAATGCTATTAAATATAGACAAAAATAAAGATTTAATTATGTTTGAATGTACACAGGGTACTGTCCTACGCGCAAAAAGAGAAGGTTTTAATAGAGAATACATGAGTATTGATTCGAAATAAAAAATTATATAGAGAAGATTGGGGTAAAAATTATCCTTATTCGATTCCAAAATTTAATTGTCGTCTTTTTGAAATAATTCAAAGCATTTGGTTAATTTTTGGCATTTCTCGAGCATTCGAAATAGAAAAGTGGTAAACACAACACACGAAAAATAGTGACGTTTAATGACGTCACGGCGCACCGGAGAGCAGTTCCGTTTGATTTAAATGGTGTGATATTTTTTTAAATAAAGTAACCATATCTTTAGTATAGAAATTAAATGGCAGTATTCTTTGTGAATTCGTTCTTGATCGAGTCCTCATGTAGTACAAAACATACGGACAAACTGCCATTGTTATACAAAAAGACGCCGTCAATATTGACCGTCAATACAAGATTTGTCTCATAGTTGAATGATGTAGCACCCTATAAGCTTAAAATTTAAATATGTGCAAAAAGTGTAGAGCAGAGACAAGTATTTAGAATGAATATTATTATATACAAATGTATTTTGTTAACTGGCAAATATTTCACCTTTAAAACCTTATTTAGGTAACTAAGGTTAGCTTGTCAGAAATAGAGAATAGGAAAAATAGATTTAGTTACTATTTTTGGTCACACGTACAGAACGCTACAAACTTTAAACGCTTAACCATAGCCAAAACAAAATAGATCTGTCAATAAGCAATTAACATGAATGATCAATCGTTGCACTAATTGATCAAGGATCTGTCAGTTTCCTTAAATAAACAGGTCTATTTCCCATATTTACCCAATCCCCAATTTAATTTTTATGCCCCAAATAAATAAATTTTGTACACGTTTCACACCTCGAATAAAGGTTTTTTTGCTGGTAGCAATTCACTTTGTACACCCTAAGCCCACGACTCATGGTTTGGTGACTTTAATTAATTAATTATTAACCTATAATTAGTTTACAATTATGTACACTGAAGGTCACTTCACCATAAATATAGGATTTGATGTGCAAAACAGTCTATAAAATCTACAGAGTTAGCATAATTAGTAAAGGAAATTAAAGATCTCTTTCTGAGCCCCCTGTCTTTCTGAATTAATCAACTTTAGCCAAAATTAAGATAAAAATAAATATTAAAAATGAATAATTTAATTTTACTTGTAACACGCCATTTGAATGGATAAAAGATTTTATCCATTTTGGATAACACAACTTGCCTACGTCACAATGAGTTACGTCAAAAAAAGTATTACTCCGCTTGACGTTACTTTTAAATTTAAATCATTATGAAGTCTTATTCTGGGGAGAAAATTATCTCATTGTCTGCACATAAATTAAATTATAAGGAATGAAGCTTATTTCAACTTATATTATACGATATAACAAAACTTGGGACAGATTACGCTTAATAAACCTCTCACAATGAGTATTTCTGTTAACTAATACAACATTCGACATCCATCCCTGTGCAAATCACTTCCCTTTGGCACAAGAACAAATTAGCACAAGAACAAATTAGAAAATGCTAACACACCTCAACGCATTAGGTTATCCCCTTCAATTCTATGCGCAAAGTCGCTTTAGCAAGGTTTAGAAACTGATAGAATATATAGGTTTACGCTTTAGAATTAGAATTCTTTCAGAATTATATCTCATTGACAGGTGCAAAAAGTTTTCACTGCTCACCATTTCTTGTCTTTGATTCCAATTTAGGGGACACAACAAGAAGTCAAAATATGATATTTTTATACACAGTTCAAACAAAATGATTGTGGACCTACATGTATATTGCTCCAGTAGTGTGTAAACCTTCCGTTAGTTTCGGTTGAATTCTTTGTTTTTCAAGAACAGTTTATCCCTTTTTACCTCTAAAATGAATCTTTACTCGTTTCCATCAATCTGTTTACCAGGATACGGTGATCAGCTCAGGCCCTAATGTAGATTTTCCAAAGGGTTTGGAAAAGTTTTGGAATTCCATGGAATTCCAATCATTTCTATACCAAACTCGAAAAATGTGTCTGGAAGTTTATGGAATATTTTGGAATTTGAAAAAAAAATGGACTTAGACATTTTTTGGTTTGGAAAGTAGTGGAATTCTTTGGATAAAATGATAAATTGAGAAACGTAGCCATTTTCTGCACTGGAAAACTGTGGAAAATTACTTAGAATTTTTTTAACTGTAGACTAATAGTACAATAACATCGGGATCGAAGTCGGGCTCGATGAACAATTAATTTAAACAACACGCCGAAATTCAAAAATATCAAATGCCATGTTGATGTTGCACAGAAGAAAAGTTGGAAAGAGAGTGTCTAGAACAGGGGAATCATGATTAGCTTGGGATGGAAGAAGATGAAGACATTTTAAGACCCGGTAGGTACAATATTGTACAGTATTTTATGTGCCCTTGAATGAAGAACGCTTCTGCTACTGTTCATTAGTCTGGGCACCACACATAAACTGCCCGATGGTGAAATCGTTAGTGCACTATTTTAATTTTGTAATAATTATTTAACAACCCTAAACATATCGTTAAGATCATGGATTTCAACCCAAATTTCTTCGTTTGGGATCGAACTGATGTAAAGAATTTTACCTGTACCTTCCTTTGTTCAAGATAACATTTACAGAGTATGATGTACAATGTGATTAATTATATATTTTTAATGCATGTTCATGATCATTTTCAGCTTTTATTTTAATTATTTTATAGTTGCTGCATTGTGCCTGAGATCCCCAAAGCGCTGGCGTTTGATAACTTGGTGGATGTAGATGCTTAGCCTATCAGTCACTAGGCTTGTGAATATGGTGAGAACTAGCTCAAATTATCATTCAAATCAAGTAAACTAACTTTGATTTTATTAATCCATGTCTATTAGTATTAGATTAGAAAAAAAAATATTGCAACTTTGCCAAGGAAACAAAATTTAAAGGTTTATATTCTTAACACGCTTAAATTCCTTATTCTAATAATTTAAAACAATGAATTTTGACAGGTAATCTAAACATGCTAACTGCACAGGCATGCATAATTATTTTAGATCAAATAGCAATCATCTACTATGAAGTATACATGCATTTTACAGGAATCCGGATGCTCACAAGGAGAAGAGGCTGTATGAAAAAAACCAAAAACAGTGAAAAAGGTCAGATTTCTTAATTATTTTCTATTGTTTTGTATAGCTTTATTTTATTATTTGTCATATACTAGTATTTATATGGATATCAATAATGATGCATTTTAATGGTCATCTTTTCTTTCAGAAATTGTGCAAGGAAAGTTTGAAGTGTCTGTGGGTATTATCAACATCCAACTTTCTGAGCCTTCGTACTGAAAGTGAATCCGTTCCTGAAACCAGTTATCTGTCAACCCTCCAACATGACCATTTACTAATTTCATGGGATATCAGTGAGAAAGTGATTCTCTTGCAAACATGTCAGAAGTTTTGGATCTTCATTAATCGGGATCTTTAGCACGTACACTGGGGGAAAATAGTATCTGTTGATTTTATGGGATCTTTGTATCAATATAGTTGTGTAGTACATATATTTTGCATTTAATACATATGTTTGTCACTCTAGTCATTAACTTTGAAATTGTACCAGTACATAAGCCACTGGCAGTTCATTGTAAATGTATACCCTGTTGAGGTTTCAATGGCCTCTTCAATTCCATGGCCAGTGTCATTTAATAAAACTAACTTCTTATTTTAGTAAATGTAGACTGGAGTTTACTAAATACATGTATATCATAACATGATTATCATTAATTTAACCAAGGTGATTCTCCAGTAATCATATTTTTCTCTGGATATTTTTGTAAATAACCTTAAGCATTGATTTAAAAATACTTTCAGTGAGAATACATTTAAAAATGTGCTTAGATTGTACACCTGAGAGTATATGCAATATTTGTCTCAAAAAATTGTAAAAGAAACAATGAATTTTTTTATTTTGAAAATATAGAGTTGATCTATGAAAAATTTTGATGTTATTAAGTTTTTTTGTAATTATGTGGCACTAATTATTTCAGTTTTCATTGTACATGTATTTGGAATTTGGAATCCTGGAATTCCATGGATTTCCATGGAATTCCTTAGATTTACAAATATCCTGGAATTCCACGGATTTCCTCCGCAAATTTTCAATCTGGCATTGTTCCGCTCTTTTCCAGATTAGATTCAAAATTCCAAATCATTCCGAAAAAAGTTCCGTCCCAATACTCCGGAGAATTCCTAAGAATTCTGTGGAACAAAAACTCCATGGAATTCCATGGAATATGCCTTGGAATTCCATGGAAGTTGCGGAAAATCTACATTAGGGTGCCGCGGAGTATGCGTCAATACAAACTTTTTTATAGAGTTTTTCTTCTTCTGTCATCGAGCATACACTTTTTCCTGTAGCGAATATTTCTGATGCGCTAATCTTAGTTGATTCCGTTTATTCTACCTTAAAGTCATCAAGAATTTGTATTTCATCGACGGGGATCTGAAGGGCATCAGCAGCATAAAGTTTGGGGATCGAATCCTGATACCGTTTACCGTCCGGCATTACAACACCCTCCTTCTCAACCTTAGTTTTAATGTTTTGTTTTCGCAATGAATCTGAGATTGCATACAAACGTTTACGTTCCTCTACTACAGAAGCTGGTGCTTGGGTTGTTATAAAGAACGGGAGGTTTACATTCTCAATTTTTTTAGCCTTCTAGGCGCTGAGCAATTCATCTTTTTTAGTACATTCCATCAGTTTTCTTGTTATTGGCACAGGTCTCAAGTTGACACCCCCACACTGTTTCTGTGAATACAAACAAAGTCAACCTCTACACATAGAGTTTCTAATGGAACTTCAGGAACACGTTTATTTAAGTTTTCACTCTGGGTGAATGCAAAATTGTGTATATCGAAGTTATCCCTCATTGATCTGGAGCGTGAATCAGTAATTTCTTATTCCATATGATTTATTTTTCTGTCAATTTTAATAAGCAAGGCACGTAACAAATCCACGTCTGAATGAAATACATTTAATCATAATTATTCTCAGACTGTTCAGCTACATATTTTAGATTAAACAGATCCCTTCTTCACTCTCTTGCAAATTCTTAAACGCCTCTATACTTATGCAGCAATATACCTTCATGACCTTTATACGGTTTGTATATATCTCAGTTGGTTAGATACGCAATGTATGAGCAATTTCTAAATGAGGTAAATTATTGACCAGCAAGTTGATGAAACAGGAATATCAGCAGTCTCGTTTAAAGACATCCTTTCGTAAGTTCTATGGTCGATACAATGACCTTGTCAGCAAATACATTTTATCATTGAGTCAAATGCTGACTGACGTTTTTAATACCAATTGTTAGTCAATTATTTATACACTGAATTGACGACAGATTTTTCCGTTATTTCAAGATATTTTTACGTTATTTTTTATGGACTTTGGGATTGAATACTGTTCGTTATCTCCATATCCTTCCTCTATAGACACCTCTTTGGCAACGTTACCTTTCTTGCCTGAACACTTTGCAGTCTTTTCAAGCTTTACTAGGTCACCTGTACTTCCCAGTAGAGGGGCCTTTGTTTTCAAATTTTCAAAAAAGATATTTCCTTAAAGAACTTCCCTTCCGAAAACAACCTGGACAAAACATTTGTGCAAATCACAGTCTTATATCACTTTTTTTTAGACCAAATTCACGGCGCTGATTTTTTACCCCGCGATTTCACTGACCAGTCACATGACCTCCTAAATTCTAATTGAAATGACATAAGTATCTTCATACAGAAATTTTCAAAATGCATAGAAAAGCTTTATTGTGTTTGAAAACCACTCACTGTAGACCGTCACCCATCCTGTAGCAGCAGCAAAATATACCCTTGGGGGTATAATTATCGTATCTTGGCATTTACAAAATGGCACCAGTCAGGAGTAATTGACTTTATTTAACAACAAGAAACACACAAAGATTTGTAATGAAATAGAGAAAGGGTTTAACTTCTCGTGTAAAACAAGTATTAAGGTAGGACCAAATAGATAGGTCAAATTTTTTTCTCAAATTCAATTTTACTGAAACTTTGATATTTTGTTCTTGGATACAGAATCTCTCTTTATATATGATATGAAAGGAATTCAACCGCACAATTTTTTGCCCACATAGTCTGAAATACGGACTTTCAGACCCCTGTGAGAAGTTTGTGAAATCAGACATTCGACTTGAGAATGAGCCTTATTTTAGAATTTCTTTTGATCTATTGCAAACTTGTTTAATACTTTTAATAAAGATAACCTTTTTGTTACTTTATATCAGTAATTCACATTGATATTGGAAAATTTGGGTAAAATATTAAGTAAAAAAGAACATACATTTAGTCAGAAAACGAAAATTCACTTGTAAATATCTGACAGTTTAAGTTTTCTTAAGAGAAAATTTATGATTCAATTTTTACAAAAAATTAACAGAATGATTCAAATGGGTCCAAAAATAAAATATGTAAAAATAAAGAAAATTGAATTGATGGTTTTAGATATTTTAGTGATTTAAAATAAATTCAATGGCAAAAAACTAAGATTCAGTAGATGACGTCACAGTATTTGACCTTTGACCTCTTTATATGACCTTGACCTTTGTAGTACATAAAGAATGGAGACTCCTTATATATGTGTCCAAATATCAGCCCTCTACTATATATGGAACAAAAGTTGCACTGAATTTCATAACACACCGTTACATGCTTGTTTATTGCACTTAGATAGCGTAAACACATTCCAAAATGTAAGCTCCCAAATGACCAATATATAGGATTTTCTGATTTTTTCAAAAATATAACGCAAATTTGCAAAAACTTATTATTTTTCTTTCAGGGATCATTCAATGTTGTCAGTATACTGTAGATCACAATATTTTCGCGACACCTTATTTCCGCGAGATAGTCATTAACTCTTGTTTAGCGAGACATAATTTTCACGAATTGTGATTATTGCTCTATATATAATCTTAAGGAATGCTATTGTACGCGAGAATTAATTTTTTCGCGAGCACCATGTCTCGCGTAATTACGCGAAAATAAAGTTTTCGCGAATAAAAAGTGATTTACAGTAGTAATATTACTCTTTTTTCCTCCAGTACTTTTTTAAGCAATGGGTTAAAATAGAATCCACGGGTGTTTTGTCCTATCTTAAGCATGTTGTTAAACTTTTCCCTAAAACAAAGTTTTGCTAAAAAAAAAAATAAGCGCATTTATCCTTTAAATTAATAGATGCTATTATGTAGCATAATAAATTTTGATATTTTTAACCTATTCATTAAGTCATTCGTAACCGTACATTTAGTTGACAAAACTCTCAGTTCTACACTTAATCGACAGCTTATTGTCAACTTAATGTTCAATAACAGATAATTTCATGTACTGGTTTTAATGTTCAGAACAAAAAAAAAAAATAAAGTGCACAATATTTTCTGAATTTCATTAATAATAAAAACAGGCAGATAATGTTTTAATTAAAAATACAATTATACATAAATATCAAATTATTGTACACTGAACCAAACTTCTAAATGTTCACATAACATTATTTAAGTTTTAAAGAACAAATGCACACAGTAAAAAAATTCTTTAATTCATGGTTAATGATAGGTATTTAAGTTCGATGTTGCGTACATTTTATGTAAGTAACTCGTGAGATGTTAAGCAAAGTGTCAAGGAAATGATGTACCTTCAAAATAAAAATTCACACAAATTAATCCCTATGGAGTCAGACTACCACTCGCTCCTACAAGATCTAGACAACCTTTACTTTTGGATGTCATGTACCTATGAATAGAAGATTGACCCTTCTGCTGGAACGCCTACTGCATAGATCTTTCAAAAGCGTTGAAATTGTGTGGAAGGAGGGGGTTACTTTGACATTCCTTAAAAAATCCCAGATGTGTTCAGTGGGAATCTGATCCGTACATTTGACAGTACAGTAAAACTCGGTTATAACGAAGTCGCTGGAACCTATGATATCACTTCGCTATATCCGTAATTCGCTATAACCATATAAGAATTCATTGAATTTATTTAGGTGGGGATCCAAAAAGACTTCGCTATATCCGTTAATTCGCTATATCCGTGTTCGTACTAAACGAGTTTTGCTGTACATTATCAGACAGAGGCCTTTTGGTCAATATACTTGGACGTTTAGCACCTATGTGCACCGATGCTCGAGCTGATATATGACAGTAAGGAGCAACGATTTCATATCATTTTCATACGATTGATATTGGGGTTTTTTATGTTTCATAGTTTGTTTCAGGACAATTTAACACTGTTTTAATCTGGTGTGACGCGAAATTTTAGCCTTGGCCCAA